TTCAAGGGCTCGCGAATCGTGTCCTCCAAGAGGTCGTGGTGCTCGTAGTGCAAAAGCTTGTTGTCGTAGGAGAGGACTCCGGCCACGAAGGCTTCGAATTTGTGTTGGCTGTTGAGCACAAGGATGCTCGTGGTCAATTGAAACAGCCAGCTGCCAAACCAGGTAGAGGGAGAAATCCTGGTAATGATTTCTTGAAGAAAGGGCGCCGCCGCAGGCAGCGCAGGATATGGCTCGAGAGTCCTATCCTCGGCAGCCCCTGGATGCTTGGTTTTAAGCAGAGCCGGGCTCCGCTACCAAACTTGGATAAAGACTCTTTACTCGGGCTCAAGCGCTCCGGAATGATCAGTCATAACAGCAAGCAGAGGAGTAAGACATGTACACAAAACTCCACTGTTTCTGCCAGTTCGTGCTGTAACGTGGTTGAACATGTCGAATCTGCTTGCTCAAGCCAGCAATTGTCATGAGCACTGTCATGAGCAGCCCTGCCTGCCAATCGCTGCACCGACATTTGCAAGCTGAGGAACGGGTGGCACCTCGCAGACGAATCAAGACGTCATGCTGTATGCACCACACACTCCCTGCAAGCTCGAAGCACGAACAACAACCTCTGGACTCTGCGAGCTCTAGTGAGCTCTACATAGCAGCCAACGCCCAAGATCTCTATGTCGTCGTGTGGTAGGACACCGCGAGAATGCGCAAGACTGTTAGAAAAGCCGTGGGAGACAGCATGGCATCTAGCGGCGTGGCTCGCAACACCTGGCTTCTCGCCCTTCGGCAACGGTTTGCTGAACGTGCGAGCTGGCCGGCCGATGACCCTTCGCTGGCGGGTTTCGTTGACGGCCTAGTTTTATGAATTTTGGAGCGCGGATGCCAGCTCCCTGGCAGACGGGGCTATGCCGGAAATCGAGAGATGAGCGAGGGTCGTGCCGAGGACATCGTGCAGCAGCCCTGGTACTCTGATTGCGCCGGTGTCTGGGCTATACTTCCGTTCTGGGTACGGTAAGGAGCTTGTGTCACATTGGGAGTTCTTTGAATTCGGCTTCTGAAAAGGGTGCAAAACTATATTGGGGACCTAAACAGGGACCCTAATTCAAAGAACTGCGAGAGTGAGTGAAACCTGTCCACGACCCGCCGAGAAGCATGTGCGATGGATCCACCGCTTCAGGCGTGGAAGGAGGACCAGCCGTTCCCCCTGTCGCCGACAGCATTCATGGGCCCTCCGCTGGCCGCAACCTCTGCGACGAAGTGGATCCGGCGGCCCCGTTGAAGTGGAAGGTGCAGTCGCTGGAGGATGATGCTTTACGACATACCAGAGTGCTAGACAGGCATGTTACTGCAAACACAAGCCTTTTACACTTCAACAGGTCTAGTCAGGATTGCAATCGAGTAATTTGATTCGAACATATTCGAACCCCATAGACTCGTAATTCGAACCGATACAAAACTTCTTCGCCGGCTGGGACGTGCCGAAGATGGCTCAGTATTTTGGATATGGTGCGTCCTCCCTGTCAGCGGGCCGGCAGAAGCACCGACAGCACCATGCTGATTTCCGTCTCTTCCGAATTCGTTCATCTAGGCCCAGAACGGTGCACCAGCATATCGGCGCTGATCTGTGTTACATTGTGTTACAGTACTGCTTGCAGCTACTTTACCACAAATCCACGAGCGTCAGTTGCGACAGCATGCTGCCGAGACGGTCTGCGCAAGCTCACGCTTGCACGATGTTTTCAGGGGAGACGACTAAGAAGCTACAACTCTGTAACTACTCGGACTTGAGCTACTAAAGCTTGCGTCCTGGGTGGGATTCGCTCACACAGACAAGTGCAGCGTGACTCAATGCACAACGGCGCCTCTTCAAGTGCAGGCACCGTTGCATTCGGAGGCATTGGACCCTGAGTCGAAGAGCGCACTGCTCCCAGCAAAGCTAAAGAAGGCACGCGGGATAGGCTCCAGACAGGTTCAGCTATGGGAGGTGGAAGGGACGTCAGCTGGACAGACACCTAGAAATGCGAAGGGCACGAGCATTCCCACGTTCCATCTTCAGCACTGGGCTCAGGCAGCCCCCTCCAAAAGCAGCTCTTCATCCACCCACAGCCTGTGGAAGCTCTGGATGCGTTGCTGAGCAATCGAGGGGGTCTCATATGGACAAAGCCGGACGACACTCAACCAGTTTGTGAGATCCGAGTCTGAAACGGGACAGGGCCAATCCCCAGCTCTGCGCCCTGTGCTCGGATGCACTCATGCTGCACAGTCTCTGCATCAATCCTGCCTTAAGGGGGTTTCCATCAGAGCCAAACAGCGCAGCCAGCAAACCTTCGTGCCTGGTCCCAAGCGTGGCCGAGCGGCGAGTTGACAGAACGTTGCCGCTGCGAGCCTTTTCGTGGCCACAACAAAGTCTGCAGGAGGCAAGGCCTCGGCTGCAAACAACCATGGAGTTTGTAGCCGACACTGCCACACTACGCTGCAATTCGCTGCACTTCTGGCTCTCCTCCGACCTCTCTAGCATGTGTTTGGCGCAGAAGTCAAACTCTGATCTTTTCACGTTGGATGTCGGGACGTGCATGATGCTACGTCACAAAACTTCAACACTTGCAAGCAAGGCGGCATGTCGCGGCTCACGAGAAAGCTGCAGGGTACGTGCTTCAGCAGTGCACGCGGCCCCGGCCAGCCAACGCAAAGCCAGAAACAACCCATGGCATCTCAAATACAAATCCGCAAGATGAACAGCTCAAAGCCCGAAAACGTCGAAGCAGAGATCAAGCTAGACAGAAAACGATAAGGCACTCCGACACCGAAGTGAAGATCAAGGCTAATGCCATGGAGATGCGAGTTGCCACTTAGTGGCAACTCGCATCTCCATCCTGTCCGATGACTGTCCGGGAACAAGCTTTCTGCTGCTGACGTGTTATATAGACAAAGCCTACTAAAGTTGCAGTGCACCCTTCTCGGTCGAAGCGCCAAGCCGGGCGAGCCGGGGTGCGCAATTCTGCGCCCGACCGGCGCACGCTCTGCCCAGAAGGCATCGGCACCACTAGTTATCAAATCACCATCCAACAGTCTCTCAGGAGCCTGGAGGCAGGCATGCGAAGTCAATGTCGAGGGCCGGGTCTAGTCAACGTGCCCAAACATCAGCAGCAGGATGGCCCGGACGAGCGCGTATCTGGACCGCGTCCGCCACCCGGCTGACGTTCCATCCGGTCGCCGCATGGCGAAATGAAACCAAAGCATGATTCTGCCCGTGCAGGAAGGCACTGGCAGCAGCAGGCGTTCCGAAGGTCGTGGCCAACCACCAGAGGCCCGCCGAGGAATTAAATGATGGGCGGAGCGACGCCAGTCGCGGCGAAGCAATCGCCCGCCAAGGGCTTTCGGAGGTGGTCCATGTCGATCCAACGCGCACGCCGGGCCGAGCACTTCGTCGCGGGAAGGTGCCCTAAGCGCGGGCCTTCCAGCTCCAACTGAGGGACAAGGGCGCCTGATCCAGTGAGCGGTGCCCATTCACAAGGGAGCGCCCCGAAAACCACCGCCCGAAAGGCACGGTCGATCTCCCATGCCACGTCAGAACGGAGGGTGTCGGAACTGGCGCTCAATGAACCAGTACGCCGCCCCAATCCCATGAAATGCTAGCGCCCAGGTCGGACAGCGAAACCAGTGCGTTTAGGGCACCAGCCTCTTTCAGGCACCAGCCTGGAAGCCCCCTTTACGATAGACTTCACCCGATTGCAGTGACGGCGAAGCAGCGGGTCGACCGGGATGCCCAGGTCGTGCGGAAAGCCGCTCTGATGGCCGCCTCCTTCAAGACCGTCACCAAAAGTCGACTTTGCCCTTGTGGGCGAGGGGGTTTCAGGTCGTAAGTGCAGGGCTCCTTGGACGAGGCGTTCGCTGGGCTCACCTCCGTTGCCGCAAGCCTTCGTCGGATGGTGTGACGATCTCTGCAGTCTGCCCTGCCGGCCGGCCGGCATGCTCGGCGAGCTCGCCGGCGCACGAGTCGGCGCCGACGGACGTGGCGATGGCGGAGAGAAGTCGCAAAGGGGACGAGCCGCTGCTCGGTCGCCCGGTTAAGCTGGTTCTTACATGCACGCGTGTGTTACACCGCAAAGGACACTCATGGAAGACAAATGGCACCCACTCGGCTGCAGGCCATTCGAGCATGAGCTTGGAAGTTGTCCAACCATTGGATGAAGAGGAGCTGCGTCGTCACCTGTGCGCGAAGAAGGCCGCGGAGGCCGCGTCGCGCCATGGGCCGCGCCGCGGAGGCCGCTCGGCCTGTCGCTTCATCGACTGCAGGAACTCCAACTTGCGAGACTGTGCCCGCTCGAGCTGGTCGAGAGCCTCAGAGTTTCAGTCAGAGATCGACACTTAAGTCGACTTAAGTTTAAGCCCGTTGAGCCTCGGACGCCTCTAAGGACGACATCCATCTGGCCTTGTGTCTCCTGCTGAATTGCACTGGGGGTGTGGCACTAGTTAGGCCTAATCCGTCGAGAAGTCCTCAAAGTTCGAATGTACCTTGTAGGAAGGGGTTGAGATACTCAGACCGTCACACCGAGGCGGTGACCTCCATCAGCTGAAAGTGCCTCTCCTGCATCACCTGCGCGGCCCGTATGGGAAATGCCATGCTTATAGCGATCTGCTGAGCTGTTCAGCCGCTCCTCTTGTAGAGCGAAGCTGTGTTTACCGTGCTCGGCATCAGCCTCCGTGCTCGCCTAGGGAACGGATCGCAGACTGACTGCCGCAAAAACCCAAAGGGCGCAGGGCCTGCATGGCCTGTTGGAAAGCCTGAGGCCAGGCTGTCAGAGGCACCGCTCCCATTCTCATCTCTTTGGTTACCTCCACGGTCGACATCAGGCTGTGCCCTTCGTGCTCCTTTCAGATGCAGGGCCACTTGGATTGGAATGCTCGATCATAGAATCAGTTATCTCCTTCCGCGCATGGTCTCCAAACTTGTTGCACATTCGGCAAAGCATCGTCTGGCCAGCAAGGCAAACAAAGGCACGAAAACCCTGTCAGCACAAGCATGCCTTGCACTGCAAGCACACACTTTCATAGCGCTCGGAGGGATGATGTCGGCAAAGGCCGAATTGAAGAGGTGAATGTTCCAAGGCGAACCTACATAGTTCGCCGTCACGCTGCAGCTTCACGCAATGCAAAACTTGCTCACGCCTCTGATGCCTTGCAAAGAACTCATTCTCCGAGTGGTGCGCTGCATCGCACCTTGTGACATCCAAAAACCAAATATACCCAGAGGCCTCACACACAGAAGAGTGAGTTGGCCACGCTGCACAGAAGTGTGCATTGTCATTCCTCGCAGCACTGTGCTGAATCGACTGGAGGTTTGTCTCAACAGCTGGGGACGCGACTTGCAGTACACAGTTGCAGGTCGCTGCTCGCAAAACTCGCAGATCTGAGCACGACCACCAGCAGCAATGTGGGTGAGAACCCGCATGTAACCAACAATGATCACAATGGATTACACCTCGTATATCGACGTGAACCTGCGGGGCTTAACCTTTCTGTCCGGAATCCACCAAGGCTTCTGCAAGAGGTTTTGCAACCGCGCGTCGCTCCTCGAAGACCACCTTCAAACAGGTGCTGGCTCCGTGAGGACTACCCTGAAGGGGGCCTAAGTGCAGTCTTCTGGTGGTCAGAAAGCAGAACACCAGCAGCTACTCTTGCTGTGCATTGTCCTTGCCTCGCACAAGGCAAGAGGTAGCACTTGATCCCGATGCCGTACACGGTATACCCTGGCATTGGGGATCTGTGTGCAGGGCGTGAGAACATGCGAAATGCTCGAGATGTCGATGTACATGTCGGTGCAGCTGCTGCCAGTCAGCAACAGGGTCCGCGTGTTCAGCTCCGCGAGCTGCCAGGAATCGCATCACGAGAAGAAAGCTTGGGGGGGGAGTGGTGAAGTTTCCAGATACGCATAAAGCTAGTAACATCGACAAAACAGAGACGAGCTGCACCAAAGCGAGACCAAACACAGAGGAGATTCTTGATTCAAACAATCACTCGTTCATTCGTTCATTCATTCACTCACTCACTCAGTCACTCATTCACTCATTCACTCATGCACTCATTCACCCACTCACTCACTCCCTCCCTCCCTCCCTCACTCACTCATTGAGTGAGAGGGCTCCTCGTTTGCAGCATAACTTAACAAAAGCTTACAGACGGAGACAGACGGAGAGACAGGCGACAAGACATAAAGACTCAGAGACCCAGACTGAAATGAAGGGATAAGCAAACTCCGAGCCACGGAGACTCAGGGATGGAGACATGAAAGCCGGAAGGCAGGAGGACGGTTAGACAGCCCTCAGAGTGAGGGGCGTCATAGAGCCTTAGCCAGCTGTGCATGTTGTGGGCTCGACTGGCGGACTATGTCAATGTGCAAGATTTGGATATCTTCTCGTCTTGGAACCCCGCACTGAGCCAGTTTACGGGTACCTGGCCTTTTGCTGCAAGGCGGGATGGCTGACTCCGAACCAAGCATGACCTGGCAGACTCCAAAACTGCAACGATCGGCAGCAAGACCCTTCCCAGAAAACATGCACGGCCCGCGCAAAGAATTCAGGAAACTTGGGGGGGCTATCTTCCTGTGACGGTGCAAGGTGCAGCGGCCTCCGTGCATCCCTACCGATGTTCAGAAGCGTCCTTCACCGCACTTGCTCTGCCCAGTGCGATTCGGCACGCCAGAAAAGTTTTCGCCTTGCGAGTGAAGACATGAGCTGGGGCAAAATCCCAGAGCTGCAAGCGGACCTCTCCACGTCTCAAGGATCTGGGTAACTCCAACGACCCGACCTGGCCAAGACATTTCTCAGGCTCGTCTTCTTCCCTCAAAGTTATGTCTCCCTTGAAGGCTCGTGCACGTTGAGGCTCGGATTTACACGGATTGAGAGGGTCGATTTGTTCCGTCCGAATTCCTGTTCGCTACTTTGCGAAAGCTGCTTTGAAAAGACAAGGGATTGGGGGCCAATATGGGCTCTGGCTTGGAAAGGGCTACCTGACAAGAGCCAAGGACACGTCCCGACTCGGTTCAAGAATTCACACCTGGGATTCAAAGTTACGAAAGGAGTGAAGACATGGTACATGCAGTGAGAAGGGAAAGCCTGAGGCTTGCCACCAAACTTGCAGACTTGCAGCGTAAAACAACCCCCTCTCTTTTTTTCTCTCTCTCTCTCTCTCTCTCTCTCTTTCTCTCTCTTTGCCTTGCTTTGCTAGGGGTCAGGGCCGAGGGGTGTGCCCCCCAGTCCGCGCCTCTCTCTCTCTCTCTCTCTCTCTCTCTTTCTCTCTTCTTCCACTGGGCATGAGGGACGGTTAAAGTCCCTCGGCCACATGGGCCCCCCTCTCTCTCTCTCTCTCTCTCTCTCTTCACCATTGGGCATAGGGGATCTGTTATTTCGCCCGAGCACCAGGGCCACCCCATGTGCTACGGGGTGTTGGGAGGATGTGCAAAGCTCCCCGGTGTGTAGAGATATTTTGACCGTGACGTTGTGCAAGTATGTGTGGATGCCCCTGTTGTTCAAGCATTGTAAGGTCACAAGTACAATTAAGCGTGCATACGGCAACCCGCGAAAGTTTGGGGGATACACATGCCAGCGGTGGGCCTTTACATTAAACTTTACATGCTTCCGTCCTTCCTTAGGTTGGGGACAAATCTGCACGAGCGCAAACCCGAGCCTAGGCCCACCCATCCCTTCCTTGTTGGTGGAATGAGGCTATGGGGTCTTTGGGAGGAGGTTCGCTCGCTTGGTCGGTTTGACAAGTGGTATGGTATAGTGCTACTGCGGAAATCCCGCCACCCTGAACACTAACGCGCATCCCGGCCTCGTCCCCGCGCCCTCTAAGGCCTTTACATGCTCTTTCTCTCTTCTTCCACACAGTCAAACGAAGAGCTGACACTCCCCGACGCGCTCGCACGCCCTGCTTGTCCACGTCTCTGTGTGAAAACTTTTGGCGATGAGGTCTGCGGATTGCAACTGTTTTACCCCCATCCCTGTACGAACACTAGTGACCCCATCCCCGAGACTCATCGCCAGGCTTCAACCGGCTCGTTTTTTCTCTGTCTTTTGGGCCCCCCATTTGTTATGGGGCTTTGAAGGGACTTCTTCTTCTACACAGCCGAAGGGAAGCCGGACGACCCCCGCTCCCCCTGCGCGCGCACGCGCGGACTTCTCTCTCTCTCTCTCTCTCTCTCTCTTTGCTTTGCTTTGCTAGGGGTCAGGGCCGAAGGGTGTGCCCCCCAGTCCGCGCCTAGGCGCATCCCCGTCCATCATGTTGACAGAGGGGCTCGGCTGTACTGTTGTGTGTGGGGTCGTGTGCCCCGTCTGGTTCGCTAGCCTCCGTGGGGGCAGTTCGTTGACAGGTAAACTCACGTCTAGCAAGAACTGTAGCAGGTGCCCCAGGAGTTAGCTTTCTGTGCTGTACTTCTAGCTTGGTACCCCACCTTACCTGCCTGGACCCTGCCTGCATCCCGAACAGAAGCCTGATCCCCATCACTGCCTGCGACCTTCCGCTCGACCCTGAAGCCTCACTTTGCTCAGGGGGGGGTCTGACGAACCACACGCACAGTGAGTCCCTTGCTACAACATCCACAACACAGCCGTTCTGGTGCCCCCTGCCTGATCCTGCCTGTCGCCTTCTGTGACTGTCTGCGCTACTCTCACTTCCACTCAGTTCTTCTTCAGCTCGTTGTAGGCCCCGGTTAGTCGGCGAGTGCCTCACCACGTTGGTGACTCTCTCTCTCTCTCTCTCTCTCTCTCGACCAGGCTAGAGGAGGCCAGCAGCTGCCCTCCCCTCCGCACGCGAACGCGAACCTGCAAGTCGTTGCAGGCTTGAAGTTTCCGCTGTAGGGCAGTGCCCCAAAGGCGGCTCGGCTATACTCAGGGATGAGCCGAGGGTGTGCATCCCCCGGACAACAACCTCACGGACTCCCCAAGTCTTATAACATCATCAGGCAGACCGTTCACAGGTGGATGCAAACTCCCCATAGTCAACCAAGGAGCTTCGAAACTGCGAAGCAGCGAAGCATGACGAACTGCCGGGCCGAAAAAGAAGGTAGGGTGCTAAGCTCTGAAGTGCACTAGCGTTCTCCCTCTGCGATTGACGCCTTTGCGAGCTCAGAGCCCCATGCGTGTTCCGAAGTTGAGAGATCCCCCCAGGACTCTTTGCCTAGGACACCAATGCAAAAGCTTACCAGAAAGTACCAAATAGATATTCAACACAACTCAGCTGGCAACCTGAGTGTTGAAAGGGCATTTCTCTTGGAGGTGCCAAGACATCTACGGGGAGGCATCGAGCGGCTTTTTGCTGGGGTTTACTACTTCCCGGACCAAGCATTGTTTCAGTGGCGGCCTGCGGCATCAGCACCAACGAGCTCTAGTCAAGACATGACATAGCCCAAAAGAGCTCAAAAGTAGCAGATTGCAGCACTGTGAGAGGCATCTTAAGCCAAGCTGGCATTGCCGGGAACTCAACATCCCGCCAGTCAACATCCAGATAGCCAGCCTTCGGCACTCGGACTCATGTTTTGGGAGCCAGGCAAGGCAGGGGCCCGGTGCCTCAACCAATTCAGCCCATGTCCGGCCGTCTCGGATCTCACCAGAGATGTCCTGACACTCGCATTGTCGCTCCTTTGCAGGTGCACCGGCTCAATGCAAAGGCAAGCAAGCTGTTTCCGTTTCTCGCCGCCAGCTCCGCATGCTCAGGACATGCTAGTGACCGCTGCGCAGCTTTGTCAGCCAGTAGCTTGGTTAGGCATTCGGATTACTGAGGTTTGCCTGGGGGCCTCTAGCGACCTTTCACACAAGAGTTATATGCTGCTGCATAACAAAACAAGCACAAGCACAGTGTGCATAAAGACTTTCTTGACTATATGACCTTCCATTCCCTGCTCACCCATGCAGCTAGGAGGCTGTTCAAAGCGGCACTAGGATGGCTCTCCCTCAGCGGATCTGGCAATACGAATGATCATTACAGGACCTTAGCTGCCGATCGTTCATTATCGTTTCCATTAGTGGTATGCATGACACGAGCGCACAGGACTACTGCTGAGTGTCCTGCAATGTCTGCTTGTGCTCGGAACCTTTGTACAGAAGGCAAAAACCGCAAAACCCTTGCGAATCTTGCCCAGCAGGTGCCGGTGCGCAACCACCTCCACAGAGCCTGACGATCGTCCGCCTGCGCTGTCTGTCTAGGCCTGCCGATGCCCTTGCGAGTCTTGCACGAAGTGAGGGAGAGTGTCAAGACACAAGCCAAACGCACGCAGCGCCACGCGGCTTATTGTGTCCGATTCCATGCACCGCATAGGACCCCCCGATCTCCAAGGCACGGCCCTGCGGCCCAACCAGCGGGGGGCGCGTGGTGGCCGAAACCGCACCGTGGCAATCCCAATCTTCTTCGTGCTCCGCTCCGGCCCTGAGACCGACACGCGGGGCAGCGGCGGAGAACCCAGAATTCGCAGCTCTACAAGCAGCTTGCTTGCAGGGGCGTCACTCGGGCTGCGACCCATGACAACTGCTTTCGAGTCAAGTGATGAAAAGAGAAGTAGCCAGCTTCATGATCAACCAAAACCGCGCCTGGATAAGCAAAGCAACCGCAGTCTTCACATTCCAGTTCCCGGTCGTGCTATAAGCTCATCAAGTGGCAAGCTTGTAAATAGCATCTTGTAGCTTGTCGACTTGGAGGCTCGCGGCTTGCACGGCAGAGTGCAGAGATGCCGGGGTCCACACCTCTTGCAGTCCTGTTCGAACGGAAAGGACCTGTGAAGTGAGAGAACTAACAACTTCGGCTCTGCTGAGGACGAAGGCCTTGCCAAGCCGCTGCTGCTCAAGGGCGACCGCCTGGGCTAGCTTAGCGTCTAGGGAAAGATGGCATGTGACGGCATGGGGTAAGTTGGCTGCCACAGCTGTCGCTTGCGGAATTGCCTCGGACCGTCCGCATTTCTACGGCACACCGTTGATCACCGTTCCTGGAGTCATGTAGGGGCGCTTGAGAAGCGGGCATACCCAAGAGCGTTCAGTTCGAGCACGTCTGATGCGGGTTTATCCTTGTGCATATGCTTGCGTCGCATCGCCAATCTTGCTGGCATCAGCTGCAATGTACCCCCGAGAGCCTGCGATCCAGCCAGCATCAGTTTCGCCACGCGCACATAGTAGGCGGCGCCTGTCGACTTGGACATCTTGGACGTTGCTACCGAATCGTCATGAATCGTCGATCAGGACTCAGCATGTCCGCTCGAAGTGGGGACCACAATGCAAGGGCCAAAGGCCGAGTCTCACTCTCTTTCGTCAAACGTTGTTGAGAGGACAGACAACCGAAACGAATGCCACGCGAGGCACTACCATGATCGATGAAATTGCCGCAAACATCTGTACAGGCTGCTTGCATCGAAATTTGCTGTTGGTTAGTTCATAAGGCTTAAGCCAAAATTTAGGCTATTAAGTCTACACACATACGGACTATGGAGGAGTTGCTGGTGAAGGAAAATCATGCAAGCTCTGTCTCGGATGCCACGGACTGGCAACCCAAGTAACTCGACAGATGTGAAAATTGACATGACGCCGTGCCCAGCACCATGGTTGTAGCGGCTTGAGCCAGGTTGCGCACCTGCTTATACTGTCAGATCGTTTTGCATGTTAAGGAAGAATATGTTGCCCTACTTACTACGATTATGGCGGCGTCCATGCCCGTGCTTTGCTATCGTCAGTGCCGTATCAACATACGGCAAATACCGATGCTGATGCCGCAACCACTGCTGCGCTCACTGCTACCATCAGCTACTTCTAACAGATGACAGGCAGGCAACAGCATTACTAAGTATAATTACTAATAACCTTGGTGCTAGTTCTGGCACTCATACTTACTAGCACTACGACCGCTGCTACTGCTGCTGCTGCTGCTGCGGCTACAGCTGCGGCTATGGCTACGGCTACTGCTACAGTACTGCTACTGCTACGTCTGCTGCTACTGATATGACATCCGTGAGCAGCCAAAGCTTGTAAATCGTGGAATATTTAATTTTGAATTTTGATACAATTTCAGATACACTTGCAAAGTACATGCACAGGTTCCGATACGAACGCAAACTACGATATTGAGAAACAAATCGTATTAACGTAGCTTTGTTTCTAGCCCGACGACTACTACTACTACTACTCCTCCTCCTCCTCCTCCTACTACTACTACTACTACTACTGCTACTACTACTATTACACTACTACTACTACTACTACTACTACTACTACTACTACTACTACTACCTACCTACTACCTTCTACCTTCTACCTACGACCTTCTACCTACCACCTCCACCTACCTACCTACCTACCTACCTGCCACCTACCTACCTCCCTCCCTGCCTACCTGCCTACCTGCCTACCTCCTGCCTGCCTGCCTGCCTGCCCTACCTACCTACCTACCTACCCACCGACCAACCTGCCTGCCTGCCTGCCTACCCTACCTACCTACCTACCTACCTACCTACCTACCTACCTTCCTGCCTACCTACCTACCTACCTACCTTCCTACCTACCTACCTACCTACCTACCTACCTACCTACCTACCCCCCTTTCGCTGCTACCC